GAAGAACGTCTGTGTGAAAGGCAACTTTGGAAAGCGCGATTGCGTGCGCGAGTGTAATCGCGCAGTCTTTCCTTTTCCTTCCAACATCTTTACACTTGCGCGATTGAGCGCGCACGATTGCTGTATCACTCGCGAAGGAGTGTCTGTGTAAAGCCCTCTATTGTCTAAGTATCTACGGCACATTGTTCGTAATTTGAACTATTTAGTATGGAACATAACGTAGCTATTCTTCGCTCCGTTTTAGTGAAATATAAGTCAAAATTGTTACAAGATACAAAAGCTGGACCATTCAAAACTGGGATATTTTCAGAATTGAATATTTCCAGGAGCGGACATTCTTACTTCCGGGAATTGTAACGTGGTAAGGTGTGGCACCAAACCACTAATCAATGCCTTACTTTTTCAAACACGTATCTTATAAAGATTGTTCAGGAGATGACAAAAATTTGTATTTGTTTTTAGTTTTTTATCATGGGTATTAATTTGTATGCATTACTTTAAAAATAGATAAAAGCCAGTATGTAAATATGAAGTAAATGGAGATCAGCCTACAAAGTGCAATGCATTTTTTTGAATTTCAGTTACTTTGTGCTTTACGATACGATTATAAGAAAGTAAGGCGACGCAATGTAACACACTATTTCGATAAATATTAATTATTTATTTACATCACAACATTGAACATGAAATTGCGAATCAAACAAAGCAAAAAACTTTTTCAATTAAAAAGTTAAAATTACTAATTATAAGTTTGTGTTAAATAACATCGTCTATATCAAAACCTTTCTAACAAACGTTTACCCCGACACTCATTTTATTGCATTTAACGGATAAGGGGGTTGCTTCACTAAGAAATAGCAATAACACACACCGAAACTTCAAAAGGTCTTTTCTGTTGAACAATAACAACAGGCGATTTTAAAATCACAGTTTTAATAAAAACACACCTCAAAAGTTGGTGGAATTACATCTATTTGCCAAGTTTTATTGAAATCGGTTACCGGAAAGTGCGCGAAACCGGATTCATCCCCTAGTTTACCACCCTTAGAGGTCTCCACCTCAAAAAGGCAAATAGATGTAAATAAAATATTCCTATTTTTTATTTTTTTTCAAATTTTAATAGGACCAATGATGAGGTGCTCTCTTTCCAACAAAGAAGAATCATCAAAATCCGTTCACAAGTCGCGTAACATACACACAAAAAACAGTTGAATTCAGAACCCCTTCCTTTATTTAAGTCGGGTAAAAGTGATATTTCTGAGATTATGACTTTTTACAAAGCTACATCAAATTGTAGAAAGCTGTCTCTGTCTTTCACTGCAGTATTATAAAATATTATGATTATCGGTATACGACTGTTACGAACGGGTGTTTCATTACTTGGTCAATTATAACACCACATGCGTGATAACCTCGGTGGTTCAAGGGTTTGCCTTGTGGGTACTGGATGAGGAGGTCCCAGGATTCGATTCCCGGTAGGACCAAATTAGACAATGAATTTTTCTAAATTGGTTCCAGTCTAGGTGTTCTAGGAAGTGCCCCAGAATGAATAATGTTGCTCGGGTACTCACAGTATAGGGAATTCCCTAGTTTGAGTCTTCAAAATTTAATAATTATTTTTTGAAGACCCGCGGTCATTTCTTCTGAAATCAAAAACCATTTGAAAAGCCTTCATGAACTTTAAAAGATCTCAAAATAGTATGAAAACGAAGTTGAATGCTCACAACCTTTTTATAAAACGTAATTGAACAGTTTGATCTATGTTGACATTAATTCACTTATATTGAACTTTGACAAATGGTCGTCAGTTCAATTTGGAATGATTTTAATCGTGCGTACACGCATGTGTTGAAATGTGTACACGTAGTAAATTTACAATACGAGTTTCATAGAAATTATTCATTAAAATCAATAAACATTTTGAAAAAATATTGGTCCATGTGGTTGTGTTTCATAAATAATATATTTATAAAAATTAAACAAACTTTTACAGAGATTTTTCATTTCTATCTATCTATCTTCTATCTATCTAATTTATCACTTGGACCGGGCAGTATGAATAATTAATTCCGCACTTATAAATAACCTAACCTACCCAAGATTCTATAGACCATTTGTTTCTTTATTTTGACCAAGGTAGGGTGGTGATTATTGATACTCGGCAAAGGTGATTAATCATGCTATTTTTATGACATCATTCTTTCGAAGCGAACATTATCAAAGCGACCGACCATTATTTACTGTGATTGCACTTTTCAATTCGCCCGTAAAATACGATGTACATATTAATGCCAGCGACTGTACTTTCTATTAAGATTGTGTTCCTTCATTGATATATCGGCCAAGGAATATTGAGAGATAAATTGTTGTTCGTCTGTATTGTTTATGGTAATAATAGCCACGGAGCCCCATTGTGTGAGTTTACTGAAGAGTTGATTTATTTGAGACGCCCAAATCTAGTCTTTATCATCATCAAGTTTACTTCAATAGTTTAATTTACTATTGTTGAAATTATTTGGTCGTAAGAAGCAAATCTAAGCGGTATTTTTATCATACGGTCCTAGGGTGGTAATGAGCTTTCGCCGTCCGTTCAGAGCGCTGGAGTCTCGAAATAAACCTCGCGACAAATTCGATCCGCGACCCAAAATGCAGTAGACTTTTTGATTAATTCATAAAAAGTAATATAAATACAGTTATCTATATTACATTTATGAGATATATATACTCGTACATGATGTACACAAATTTAAAAGATTTGAAGTTTTATTCATACGTAAATCTAAACTGAACAATTTAAAAAATATATTCTTTATATAAGATTAAAAATGTTAGATACTTAAAAATTTGATAATATGAATAAACAATAACGTTATTAAATCAAATTTTCCTCTTTCAACTGCCTCGCAAGTGTTAACAAAAAAATTGTATGCTATACGGATTGAACAGCAATTACAAATGTTCAGACAATTAAAGCCCTCTCCTTTCGCTCGAGCTTAGAACGTTTGCAATTACTTATCGCCCTTGTTTGTTTTGATTGTTATATAATTGATTATCTAGGTGGTGAATGGTGATACGTTAAAAGCACAGTTGGCTGTGTACCTACATTACATGTTAATAAATAATCAATTAGTGATTGATTACGAATTTGTATCATTATGGTATCATAGTATAATAAGAAAAGTATGGTAACTCTGCACAAACGTAGCCACGCGGTTTGTATGTGTGCATACACGCCGTATAAGGACGCACACATTCGCAAAATCTCGCGGTGCAGTGGCGTAGTAGACGTATCTATTGTTGTACAGTTTCACTTCATTAATATAAGTTTAGTTTTTGATGTCGATTTACTTGCGAATGCCGTTATATTTATAAAAATCGTATCGGCAAAAGATTGTTTGAAGTTACCCTTGAACTGTCATCAAACTTAAATGGAATACGTGGTGCTTAATTTATTCCGAAACTTTAGTAATTTTAAGTTTGGTATTAAAAGTAAGTGAAGCTTCAAGAACACGTCAAGCCTGATACACAACATTTTAATTCAACTTTATGTCATTTGCGACAAGAGCGGTCTAAAACTTGATGTGCTCTTGCCTGTACTTGAGAGTTGATTAAAATTATTTGAAATAAACACCCTATTGTCTACAACACAAAATAATAATTCGTGTGGTTTTTAAAGTTTTTATGCTGAGATTAATGTTAAAACTGACTTATTTTTCCTATATTTATTTATACTTAAAACACGTTTCATGCACTTATATTTTGACAAGAATCGTAAAGACACCTTATAATTTAACTAAATTAAAGATCACAAAATTATTTTCATATCATACTCACTACAACCATCAAATGGACATATACGCTAGGCATACTCCTTCAACAGTCATAGTAAAAAAGAGGAGTATGGTAACTCGGTGCAAAGTAACAACGTGGTTTGTATGTGCACACGACTGCCGCGCGCCGTTTACGGATGCCGTGAACAGACGCCATGTACGACGATATTCGTATAATAATAAAAGGCGTATTAGGACGACCAGTCCCATATTTTTTCATCACGCCCCGGCCACACACCACCGGCGCCGACGAACGTGTTCATCACTGGAGCTAACAAACCCCGGCGAGTCCAAGTCGCCGAAGGCGTATCACTGGCGGAGGACTCGGCCCGGGCGCCCGCCGTACCCTCTTACCGAGGAGCCCTTAGTTTCCCCAGAACTCCTATCTCTCGGGTCGGTAGATAGGGACAAAGGACGACCAGTGTTATGCAACGCAAGTGCATCACGAGATTACGCAAATGTTGCGCCCGTACACGGCGCGCGGCAGAGACGCACACATACAAGCCGCGCTACTACGTTTATATAGAGTTACCATACTTGTCTTATACCGTGAAGTCGGCAAAATAATGGTAAAGCCCCACAAATTTGATAATTTTTCATTAAATAAAGGGGAACAATTAAATGAGAAATTATTTAACAAAACGATCTAACGAAGAAGCTCATGTGAGTTAAACGGTAATTGTGAGCTGTGCAGTAAACGTAAAAATTATTAGTCGCCTAGCTATTTTCATAACAATTTTACATCAACCGTATTAATAATGTAACTATTGAAATTGTATGATAAAAAACTTATCATAAGTTAGATTTGACCCAAAAAAACGTAGCAAAGTAGTAGGTTTATTTTATAAGTTTTTATTTACTCGTTCAGTGTTCTTATTCATAATTATGATAAAAAGGCTTAGCGCCTATTAGAGGGTTTAGCGCCTTCTTTACAAATAAGAAAGCGATAATAAATACAGTCAACGCCCTAAAAGGTTCGAAACACGCAATCCAATTATTCTCGCTGGAGGACTTTATTTCCCTGGCTCCAAACATATTTAGGTCTTAATATGATAAATTTAGTCCTGTCATAACAGGCCTAGGTTGGCATCTATGAAACCCTGCTTTTTTACTAGAAGTACAATTTTCATTCAATGTTTTTATGTTTTTCTTTTCAGGTAGTGCTATATTATGGCGTCAGGTTTCTCTTACGCCAACACCACGATGGACAATGGTTTCTCAGACAGTCTAGGTGAACACCTCAAAGCTGTGGGAAGATTATTCTACTTACATTCACCTAGCGCTACTCTGTATGAAAAAGTAGATGATGTGCCTAATTTTTTTAGACAGGTGAGATGGTTTTCTCTTTATTTGTTTAGGAACTTGTACACAATATATAATAGCAATTCTTATAACAGTCGCATCCTAATCTATAGCTTAAAAAGCAGTAAATTTGTCCGTTTCGTGTGGGAATTGCCCAGTTTACAATTCATAACATCGACAGCGCTTGGTTAATCTGCAGGTCTCTCAACACTGCCCTCTTTTGTTTGTACCATAACAATGTGATTTTGCGCTGTTTGGATATTTCTTATTATTTATTAAAAACGCAAACCTGTTTAGTGTTACACTTTTTCTTTCATCAGGTTCACTCGATGTTTTTTTCTAATTTTATATTAGGTGCAACTGAATGTAACCACAGTATGTATTTAAAAAGTTTCTTAAATACTTAATTGACATTCATTATGTAAAGTTTATTTTAATTAACGTAAATGGGGCCACAAGTTTGTGATTACAAAACAATATTTATGTTGCAATGATATTGACGTCAAGGTTATATTTCTCAATCTAAGCATAACAAGTTGTATGGCAAAAGGTTGTTTATTTCTTAGAACCAAAACAAAAAACTACAAATTTCACAAAACTGCACTGCAGGCGGCATCCATCGTCACCACTTAAGTCTGTTTTTTTAAGCCAGATGAACTGAAAATAGCTGAGGTTACAATTGAAATGGTAATTTTATTGGTCACTCATCATGTCAATTTGGTTTATAAAAAAACGTGTAAACATTTTCAAATTACCAACTCAAAAGAAGCTAAAATTACCTCGTAGCCACTTATAGCAGCGCAAGTTGAATACGAATCAACGAATTTCCCAATAATCAATGCGTTTTAAAATTACAAAAAAGTGTACAAGGACAATTATTGGTAATTCTATGTACCACCCACCGCATATGCGTTGATACATTTATATGACGCTTACATTAAGAAGCGCTGTGTAATTTTGACAACTTGTGTCCTACGATCAAGATTAGCTTAGTGTCCTTCTTTGAAATCACTTGACATCTTCTAGTGTCTTTACTGGACCGCTTTCTTAAGCATCAGTTTTTTTAATTCGTACTGATTCACTGAACATTTGCCAGTTTTATAGTTACACTGAATTTTTCCAGTAAAAATTACAAATCCATCATATCAGTTCTCTAATAGCATTAGAGCTCCTTGTGAAAGAGTTCGTCCAGGGAAGAACTGCCACTAATACATTACTTCCGTTTTTGTATTAATAATCAAATCAAATTAATGCTTTACTGTCTTGAAGACAGCAAAAATTTCAGTTCATTTTGTTCGAAAGTCACGAAATTTTGAGCCCCAACTTTTAATTGAGAAACTGACGAATAAACGACAACTGAATCGATGGAAGTTTCTGGATCGTATCTACAAAATGTTGCCGAGTTTGATTATTTAGTAACTTAAATAAAATTAAACTAAGTTTTTTTTTTATACGGAACGAACAACTCGTGTGCGTGGTTGTAAGCGACATGCCTGTCCATAATAGTTGCGCTGCTCAGAGCTTAAAAGATCTGAGGGGCACTGCCACTGCGCCTGTCACTATAAGACGTAAGTTACCAAGTCCCATGCGTCTGTAATTTCAGCAGCACCCTTACCTTTCCAAACCGGAACGCAGTAATGCTCACATTACTGCTTGGTGGCAGATATAGATAAGGTGGCAGTACTTCCCTGGACGAACTCTTTTACAATAAGCTCTACTGCTATTAAAATAACTAATATGATTGCGATGTATGCAATATTCTTTTGCCGATGTACTTATCACGAGCTCTAAAAATATCTTTAGACTTATTTTTTGTGCGCTCTCTAAACTGTCTTCTGGTTCTAGTAAACATTCCGAGAAATGTAAACACATTTCTCACTTTTATAGCAGTTTACAGTTTTCATCCATAAAACATATGAATTAGGTTTATTTTAAGTGACAGTGCGCTCAATATAACACGATATTGTATTTATGAGGGGAAATGAATAGAATTTTATACAATTTTATTTCGCTTATTCCCAGTAGTTCCATGTAGTCAGTACCACGTGGAACAATTGTAACCCAAAAGTTGGTAACCTATCACAAACTCGTTTTTTTTCCGAAATAACGTTTGTTCGAATTTTCATTACACCGAAAATCGAATAATAACGAAACCGTTGTTCTTTCAGGATATGTTGGATGTTTATCGCAAATATAAGATTAGGTTCGGTTACGTTATGTTAAGTTAGGTTTAAAAGAAAAAACATTTTCCTCTCGAAATTACTTTCGAGGTTATGAAAAATCGAGCAAACGTTATTTCTGGAAAATGTCATTTCGGACTATTGACAGGTAACCATTGACTTACAATTATATGGACGTCGGGTCCGTGCTAAAAAGTGTCCGTACTTGTAAGGCGCTAAAATCGTATACAGAGCGCCAAACTCCGCTTTAGTCTTCATTTGTTCGACTGACAGCGCGATACTGCGATGACATTACAATTTAAATTTCGAATAGGTTGACTTGGGACATTTTTTTCGTGGTTTTTGTATTAGTCCCGTCGTCCATTTATTTGTAAGTCAATGCAGGTAACCCTCTCAGTCGCTAAATACTGGTCCTCACAAATATAAATGTCAGAGTCGACATGCCAAGAAGAAGTTTCCTAGATAGAGTATCTATGTACATTGTCATGATAGTTTAGCCTTAAACATCGAGTATATAACCCGAAATAGAGACGAAATAAGGGCCATATATTCCTGGTAACACATTAGCGATAAAGCTCTTATAAATATCAACTTCCGTTTGCACTGAAATATAGACAGGTCAACTACTGACCTGTGCGTACGTTTCCAAAAAATATTCTGTATTTATTGTAATAAAGATAATATCTCTAACAATGGCGTGCTGTTCTATTTGGTGGTGTGGGAAAAACAGCAAAACGTCTAATTACAAAACAAACGGAATCTCATTTCATCGGTAATTAAATATGTAATTTTGCAATTTTCGTCCATTATAGCAAAGCTCAAGTTCGATTTAGAGTGAAACAGTTGACGACACCCATTGACGACACCCGTCAATTGTTTCGAACTCGGGCTAGCCAATCCGAGCGCAGTAGTCACAGTAATGATATGGCAGAATAGTTTTCAAACAAATTAAATGACATTTCGTCTCTATTTCTGGTTATATACTGGAAGGACATCTGAAGGTATGTATACTGTATGGAAAAAGTCGTAAATCAAATCCTAAGCTGTAGTGCAGACTCTACCTTTTTTTTGAAACTCGCTAAAATTGATTATTATTATTAATGTATAGCAATAATTGTACGACAACTAGCTCCAATAAAATTATCACTCACAAACAGTGAAATATTACTCCAAGCTATATGCAGTTTGTATTGTAAGTACTCGTATCCTTTCCCTGTGACTCCTGTGGGTGCTAAGCCCTACTTAAAATGCATATAAAGGAAAGAATTACCTAGATTTGAATTTACCTAACCTTTTTCTTCGGACAAAACATCACAGTACAGGAAAACAATGTGAGAATTTATTAAATGTTATTATATGATAATATTTTTATTACTATTTTATTTTTATAAAAAGATTCGTTTAACGTTAGTAACCTCTGCTTTTTCAAGTTCCTTATATTGCAAAGGTCGTGAGTTATATTATGTACACAAAGAAAATTTACATTTAATTAGATTAAATACCTGATAACTGATCATTACGAGTAAACAATAATGAAGTAATTTCATATCGAATATATAACCAGAAATCACATTTCATCGATAACTAAATATTAAAAATGTAATTTTTTAAATTTTCGTCCATTATAGCACAGCTTAAGTTAAACTGGTCGATTTGAAGTGAAACAATTAATGACACCCGTCAATTGTTTCGAATTCGGGCTGGCCAATCGGAACGCAGTTGTCACCGTAGTGATTTGGCGGAGTAGTTTTCAAACAAATTAAACGACATTTCGTCTCTATTTCTGGCTCATCTTAGAGACTTTTGATTTACGACATTTATTCAATCGTTTTGTTTACAAAAGACAGAATGAAATGCTCGATAAAAAGCTCAAAAATTCTTTCTGTCGAATGCAAAAGAATGAAGATTGTTTTTCTAAAGTTCTTACTGTAAAACACGAGCATTTCGCAAGACGAAATTTCACATTTATAAGTAATTAAAAAAGTAACCCAAACAACTAACATAGATTCATACGGATCATAAATCAACAGTAAACAAATAATATGTGTATATGACATATATTTTGTCAACGAATGTTGTGTTCACCTGAAATTAGCTTATTATACCAGAATTACGTTCAAAATTTGTATTAAGTTACGTAAATATTGTAATATAAAATGCTGCTGGTGTCCCTGGTAATAATAAATTAATAAATATTCATTCCTTCTTCTTCTTGCATACTTAGATAGATAAATAAAACGTTTATGTCCTGCATCGCACACAACAACATAATACAGTAAATAGATTATAAGAGAAACAGAGAAATTAAAATTAATAGTGGGAATAAAAACAACAATAAATTAAATTAAAAATACATAAAAAACAAACCACTAACCTAAATAATCAACAGCCTAAGTGTGCTACAACCCGCCAAATATGTCATGGCTCAATGTGAAATTTGTCCAAAAGCAAGAGCAAAACATTGACACGTTAAAAAAATACAATTTTTTTTTAAATTTCTTTTATGAATAAAAAATTACCCCACATTAAACCTTTAAAAGACCGATTGAGCTTTTTAGATAAAAATTCGTGACTAAATTTATGACTGCCTTAACGTTAAGATACCTGAGTGAGGTTTAAAATATTGCCGCCCGAAAATCGTAACCGCCTACATAAATCAAAATGTAAGCTAACCGAACTTTTGTATTGGAAAAGCATTACATGATGTAATAAGTTTCTAGTGCCGTAATATATCTCGACGGTCTCATAATATCTTCGTATTTTTGAAAATGGACTCCAAAGATGCTTCTTTTTTTGTATATTTGTTATTTGATTCTTTTTTTTTAATAACATAGAGAAAACTTAATT